ATCTACATTAGCGACGCGTTCTTTCAATGGCTAGTTACTGACATAACAATACAGGCTAACGATAAAACCGAGTTAAGATAAGTAGTTTTCCATGTACCACGTAAACAGTCTGGTCTACGCGAAATAACTCGAAACAGTGCTATGTAAACCCCATTTGTTTGTAGTCTTTGACATCGATGAAGTGTCAGACTGTAAATCAATTACCATCGATGCAATATTCGGAAACAAATATTGATTTGTCAGACACTTCATAAAATATCGTTAAATCATACTATGATTGAACAATGAATCGTCAAGTTCGCATCAGATCCTCGTCCACTTCACTTACATTGACATTTTAATAGCGATATCGAAATTTACTGAAGTGTGACAACATCAAAACTATTATTAAATTTTCAAAAACAACTAAACAATTCATAATAGTTGTCGTTGATTTAAAAAAAAATATTCGATTCAAACTCATCTCAAACTCATCACGTAATATTAATCCTGTTCCCTACAGGACAAGCTTAGCCTAGTGTAATAATCAGTCATATTTTTTTATGCAAATATACTTTGATAATAAATACACTTTTTTACTCTTAAAAATGTTTAGTTCTTTATCGGACCAAGATTCTTAATGTTTTTATTAAGCTACTGCTAAAATTGTAGACTTTGATTACGAAAAAATATTTGAAACTATAATGTAAAATATGAAGTAGTTGCAAAAAAATTTTTACTACATTTATGTGAAACTTTAACGTTTTAGTTCGCAAAGCGTTTTTTTTTTTTATTTATCAGATTAGTCGAAAATATTATTTTTTAAGAAGTGGTAGATAAAACTTGATGTTGCCTACTTCGGCATAAACGCTTTTAACATTCATTCACATTTAATTTTTATTTATTCTCGTCGAAACGATGCGAGTACATCGATACATCGCAACCAGACGCAATAAAATGGTAACGACTCTTACGTTTACATGTCTTGAGTTGAAGTAATAACTGCCTCGCTGCCAGGAAATGCTGAATGACCGACGTTCAAAGCCTTGACACTGTTTTATGATGTTCTTTTATGTATGAGATGTATTAAACTGTTACGTAGAACAATAATTCTTTACAGGACTGTATTGCATGTCTATATGTAAATGCTCAATACATTTAAAAACAACGAAAATATGGGTAATAAAATGGATTTATTTGATTAACAATTTGTCCTTATACTCTTTTATAAGGTGTACTGTATTAAGGCACGCGTGACTTCAAATTAAAACGCCTCAACTCTTCACAATGATGTGGTATTTGACGTGCACAATATGGAATGTTCAGGACGTGACATTAATTCACGCAGGAAAATATCTCAAGACATTGAATTTTTGAGAATCCTTCGCACCATGTGTATCGTACTGTCTATACGCATTCGAATTTTATGAATACCTTTCAAAAAGATAAGCACGCGAATCATTTTCAATAACGTCTGATTCTGAGATACTTTCCTTTGTATAGATTAATAAATTGCTCGCTCCATGAATCCCGCGAGGTACAGAGTATCGACATTTAACAAAGTTGCAAGCGTAATAAATGCTGTGGATTTACATAAACCGCTGGTCCTTTGACTGTCGAATACTGATGAGAAGACACTTCGTTTGGAAGTAATGGCCGTGATGACATAAAACTAAATATTTCTTCAGAAAGTCGTAATCTTCACGTTGATTTAAAAATTGACAATCAATACGAGTATGTATTGTTGAAATGAAAATTGATATGATAACATTAAAACAATAACCGTTTTATTTCTAAAAAAATTTTAGTAATACCAAAGAGTATTTACTTTAGCACTCATAGGCAATTGTATAGTAAACTAAGAAAACTGTATATGTGTCATAATTTTGCAAATTGAGCCCATAATAACTTAACAACTGGACGTGACGTATTAGAATGGGAAACACAAAATATTATCGTTTTTCAACCCAAAAAAAAATTCAAGTTAACTAAAAGAACACGCTTGGTTTCTGTTTCACCTAGTATAATATGTTAAGTACAAATACAGGAAATCTGAAAAATTGCCATATATAAGTATTTCAGGACGTCATTGTTAACATTTATGTTGACGAGCAATGACAGATTTACTTTTACCAGATTTACTTAATTTTATAGCTATTTACTTCTTTATTAAACGTATTTTAATAGCTAAATAACGAAAAATATTTAACTAGGTATTGAAATAAAAAAATGTAGTCTCCTTCTAATAAATAATACATTCCTTTTAGAAATCGTTCTGTTTAAAAATTCAATTATATATTTAACTAGTATCAGATCGTAGTATTGGATATCTTGTTGAAGCTAATTGGATTTGCGGCGGAGTTTCTCATTTTTAGCCTTTCAGTACCCTCCACTTTACTCCACGTTCCCTCTGTATTTAATTTTTATCTATACTATATTAAATTGCGTTTCACTGTGGCGAGTGCCGGCGACGACGAAATATAATAGGAAAAGTTTCATTTAGCTAATTAAAAATAAGCCACCCCTGGGAACAATCTAGATTTATAGTCATTATTCAACCTTTATGTCTCCTATTTTATATGAGTGCTCATTTGCAGACATTCGCTCTCCGGTTGAGACAAAGAACAATGACTACGTTGACAATGAATGTAACATGAATAACTTTGGAAACGCATTTTTAAAGAAAAACTAAAGTTATCGATTTAATGCCAAAGACAATTTATAAATAAGACTTATTTAAAATTTAGCACTTAAAATAAATCTTAAATATATATCATATTTTTTAATAAAGGGGATTATATAAGTGCTTTAATTGATGTGTTTAACACTTTTTAACCGTATCTCGTTCACGCCAAAAGGGAACATTGTTGTGGGGCGACACCCCATGCAGCTCTTTAATTATTACGTCACCTTCATTTCGGAAAGTTTTAATGTGTGTACATTCGTTCCACGGGACGTAAGTACTAACGACACGCTTCAAGCGCACTTGTTCCTCTCCTCTTCTCGTTGAAACGACCTCTTTTCGTCCTTGTTTGAACATCGAAACAAACATGCGGAGACCGCGATTAAATTTGTACAAGATTGCATTTTGAATGTACCGTGTATATTATTCAAATTATTTACGTATCGTCGCGTTCGTTTTAGGAGAATTTAAGATTAGAGAGCGTCATCTTTGCGGAAAAGCGAGGATGTACCTCGGGAACATTTCGACGCCATTGAAAACAAGTTTGCCGGTTGCCAAGTTTCCCCGCGCTATGTAAATTCAGTCGACGTAATTAGAGGAAGCTACGATCGTCTGCTTCAGTTAAATAGCCCGTCTACCCGTGTTAACTGACACTAGACGAGACCGAATCGCTTTCTGACTATTCCTACATCTGCGGTTGCAGTTATGCACTCCGTACCGTAATAGACATACCCAGTACCTACCCCGAGTCGTCAGAAAGTTTTATGCGTCGGTTTACTACCTCGACGAGTCATCGTAGACAACAGTAAAAGGCGACGATTGTGAGACAAAGCGTGATCGGATTGAGTAAATAAATAGTCTGCGTCAGAGTGCTCATCAATCTCACTGTACAAGAGTAAAGCGCAAGTTTGCAGCCCTACGTCGCTCTGGGTTCGTTGTCCGCGACCTGCAACATCACTAAACTTTCGTGAGCGCGACACTTAACAATTTAATTGTTACTCATTAGTCCTAAGGCGACGAGTCTAGCGCTGTTTAATTAACCTCGCAATTCATAGATTTCACTTCACTCGTACTTCATTAGATTTGCGCGGTATTTTTTCATTGTATTCAATAAAGTATTTATGTGTTTCGTGATTTATCGTTATCAAATCGTGGCTAGTTATATCGAATGTCCGGACAGCATCTTTTCACTCAGTGGAATCAATCATACTAGTCTCACGCAGACGGGCTACATATTGATCAATTTCAAAACTTGATAGGACTGGCTATTGCAATTTGGAAATTGAACATTAACGACAACTGATCATAAATATTTAGACTAGCAGTTATAACATAGTAGTAATAGATGGCCATGTCGTAGTTGGAAGTTAGATATCGTCAGTTCGCTATGCCGAATGGCCCACCCCCGACTGCTCGCCTCTTGGCAAACTACCGCACTATTACTGCAAATCATATTGAGTTTGTTTGCGTAGGTCAATGCTCTCGCCGGGTACGTTTTATGTGTTCCTGGTGTCACGACGTCACTCTAATAATAGATAGGAATGTCTAACATCAATATATGCACATCGGTATGCGCGCGTCCTTTACTTATGCGCACTGCATTCTGTTCCATATGTTCACCGTGTAAGTAATCAATCGTATAATTCACATTATAATGAAACGGCTAAACAATAGACACTCAGTCTATTTCCAAAAGTAGAACAAAGCTCGATGCGGTAAGAAAATGGAAATCGGCACGTTACGCTTTGACAGTTTATAATATACTTAAGACATGGCGACGCCTGTGCCTACGGTGCAACTGTACTCGTTAAACTTTCATTATTATTCTCACAAATTGCTCGTACGTGAACGAATCACAATCGATCTCTGCGGCGCTCGTGAGCCTTTGTTTGACTTCGACTCCGAATTCAGCGTAATTGCCTTTCAGCCTTTCATTATTCAACTTTATGCAGTCATTTACTTGCGTTATTACGAAGGGAGAGTTGCTGCGGTAAGTGTCGTGGGTGGATGCATTAATCGTAATATGTAAATGTGGGGATATGAAATATTGAAATTGCGTGGTTTTACAATAACGTCTGTGCTCATAGCGAATGGGGTCGACCTTTTGTTTTCGTACCGAAAGTTGTTGCTAAACTGCGAGCTGGCATTTAAGCTTTCATTTGACATTTCAAAGATGAAATCTCTTCTTGGTTTGATATGATCAAAGAATTACATTCAGAGTAATAAATCGAGTGATTCGCCCATTACCAGTAATTTGTTTAACTGAAAGAGGTTTTCTTGTTTATTATTATTTATTATCTGTAAAGTATGTATTACTTATTCTTTAAATTTATTTCAGATTGAGGACGAAGGTAACCACGGCAATGACGAGACACGGCTGTTCATCCTCTCCACGTTAGCTGGTCAACACAAGCCCCGGGTATCGTGTGCTTTGTGCAAGGAAACACTCCACGTGTTCGACCGGTATCCTTTGGTTGACGGCACGTTCTTCCTCAGTCCGCTGCAACATACCAGCAGCGCTGTTGAGGTAATTACATTTGTAACATTTTCAAAATAGTACTACTCATATTTTAAGCTGAATTAATGTAGTTAAATTTATCGCGAACCATAGAAACTTTTTCGACGAAGCGCTCAAAAGTATTTTAAAATAGTAAAAAGTTTTCAAATCAAGATAAGGCACTACAGAATGGAAATTGCTTTAAAGTAACGTACAAATAGATCTAATCGAATTGTTTCAAAATATCGATTCCGTTTTTATGTTTCTGTCTCAATTTACACAATGTACACGTAAAATTATCTTACGACAAATTTATTTAAAAGTATTATGATAAAACTGAATATCACTCCGCCCAAAAGTTTAATTTAGGATCGTAATAATTTACTTTTATGAATAGAATTTTAACGATATTTCTATATTATAACAAGAAAATATATTGCCTTTAAATTTTGCTGTCACTGTATCTTTTTTAAATACTCGAATATTTATTCCTTAGCAAACTTAAATAAGATCTCGCAAAGTTTGTCTACAAAATAACAAACGTCCCCCCGTTGGGAACATAACGTACGGTGTACGGATAACTTCTCTGTCTTTGTTTATTTAACGTATTATGACTTGTATGTTTGTTTGTTTTTAGAATTAGCATGCAAACCCCTCGTGTACCTAGATACCTATTATACGAATTTTAAGCATAAAATATAAAGGTTCTTACAATAAAAGTTCCTAATACTGCTGCTATCAGGAATTTCTTATGTAATACATAGGAGTTTCCTTCTTACGCTAAAGTCAATTGCACTCTGGTCTGATCTGATGGAAGAACCAGTTACAACTACTGCTTTTATTGCAGATATAAACATAAAGACCCGGGTTTCACTTAATATTACATGTTGCTGTATTTTCATCTTTGTCCGCAGGTTAAAGTGGAAGGCCGTACGCAGTATTTGACGTGCGTATGCATGGGATGCCTTGAGCGATGTGATCCTGAGCGAACCATCAGGTGTCGCTTCTGTGGACAGAAGTGGGATGGCTCGTCCCTCGTACTGGGCACCATGTATTCCTATGACATTTTTATGGCCACACCATGTTGCGCTGAACGATTGAAGGTAAATTATAAATTAATCTTAAGTACCGATTTAAACGTGCTTTGTAGGTACATTATTATTTATACGGTTGTTATTAATTTATTACATTACCAATGTTATGCATTATATATTTTTCTTTCCCTACAGTGTAACAGTTGCTACAAACCGCTCCTACATCCTCAACAGCGGTTGAATTACTCCGACTATTCGCATCCGCTGACGTGCCCGCATTGCCGTGTCCTTGACACGCACTTCGTCAAGCCGATCGCCTACTGCTTCACGAAACGGGCCTTCCCTGTTTACCAGCAGTGGCCATAACAGTCGGCGGTGCCGGGACCCTCTCCCGGCACCCCCCCTGCCTCCGCCGACACTTGGAATGTTGCTCCTTCACCTCCGCGTCGAGCATCTCCTCCTGCGTTACGCCCTGTTGTTAATACGAGTATGGCATCACGAGCGCCCGAGCCGCCTCCAGAAGAGCCCGTATCAAAATACCTCACTCCAACCCTGGCTAGCATTACCGAGTCTCTGTCATTACTTGGCCTGACTCCGGAGACACTAGCGATGAGCTTCGGCGAGTCACTAGCAGAGCGATATTTAGCAACGTTACGGCCAAAGGCACCAGAGAGACCGGCCTTAGGCGGCTGCGGTAGTCTTCGCCGTGCACCTTTCGCAGAACCTTCGAACATGCAGCTGTTCTCGAATGATTTCATCGATTACTTAAATCAGATCGCGTAATCTGTGGTGTCGAACTTTTTTTCTTGAACTTTTAATCGCGTCAGTGCGACGTTAGGAATAATTTCTGTTAAATTAAGTTGGTATTATTGAAAATAATTTTATGTGTCGGTTTAAATCATACTATTGATTTTATATTTAATTTTATTCTGCACTTTGTTGATTAGATGTTGTTTTTATCGGAAATAATAATTAGCGATATAGCCAAACCAGAAATTGCATTTTTTTTTGTTTCTCAATTAAATCTTTATAAAAAGTGATCCTTTAGAAGGTATCTACAACATGTCTTAAACTATTACTACAATTTTGATAATACTGATACTGATGATATACCCCTATTTGATAGGGCCGTTTGAGTGGTGTGTTGTTTAGTTCAATTTAGTTTATTAGTTATGTTTTATTTTAGCAAAATTTTAAACCTATCTTAAGTGTTATACAATATTTTCGTAGGTTTATTGCGAACTTTTATTTCCTCCCACCAAAATGGCACTATATCTATGTAAGAGATTTCTACTTAGAGATGCCATGTTAGTTTATTGTCCCTAATATCATTTTCATTTACTTACATATTATAATTTAAACAATAATAATGGTAGAGGATTTTAATTGTAAGTCATTGCTGTGTCACCAATAATATGATTAGCTTGTCTATATCTATTATAATTATTATAAGGTTATGTATTGTGAAATTGTTGTTTTTCTTTTTTATTTTCATTTTTAATGTCTCAGTGATTAGAGGAGTAATGAAAATATAGGTACGTTATTAACAAAAATACTTTTTCGAAATTGTGCCATATCAAACAAAGAAATTCGGCTAGTTGGATAAAAAATTAATAACCTCTAATCATTGAGTTTTAAAACTTGTTTTTTGTTTTAATTGCTACAATTTATAAAAGGCGGAGGCGATATTTTTTTTTTGTTGAATTCTTCTAAAAGTTTTGTCTAACTTCATAGTTTAGGTTTAAGGTTTTTATTATAATTATCATGAATGTCTATTTATTTGTAAGTTAATAGCGCTTTCGACATTTATAAGCGTGTATAAGTGATGTGCACATTTACTCAATAACTGTTTAATGTTAACGTTTTAGATAAGGTTTTTATACATTTGATACTTATTACTCGCAAAGTGATTACAAGTGATAAAAACTTAGTACTAGTGCGTGTATAGTGATATAGTGGTGCGGATTTAAGGCGCGTACGATACGGCTCGTATGAACTTTAGCGCAACGTGATACCGGCGGAATTGTTACCGCGTACGCTGAATGTTAGGCAATAATTCTAATAAAGACTTGACACTTTTATAGGTAAAAATTTTTGCATTATTCCTTCTAAATTGAAACTGCCATTTACCTTTTACTAAACTTGTAGTTGGAGTATTTGTTGATAGTGTTGTCATCATTGTTTCTATGTGATTGTGGGTAGACGTATGTGCACACAGAAATGACACCGAACACTTGATATGAATACTCCCGTTCTTTTTGGATTAAATACGACGTCTCTCGTATTTGTTGCGTAGTTTGTAGGGCGAATATCATCCGCACGTCATCACGCTATCATCCGCATCACTGCACCTCATTAATCGTCATCTTTGTCATCAGACACGGTTTGAGTGGACGGCGCACTGGCTTAACTAAATCCTTTCGATATCTAGTAACTAGTTATTAGCTGGAACGAAAACGTAAATAACAGTTACGCGTTATATTTAGTGCGTCCCTAAATAAGCAGTTTTAAAATATAACTTGTTAAATTTATATTTTAAAAATCCTTAATATGCGGACGCTATCTCGTACATAATCCAGTTTTAATATGATATTGCATTTTAGCTACAGCACTATTTCCCTCGCGTTGGATATAGTTGCCAGTCGCCTAGTGTGGTTGCAATACCTCTTTAATATTTTTAATATTAGTGTTCTCAGCTTCAAATTATCTATATAATAACAATTATTAATCTCGATTCACATTACATCTTTCTCGACCAACTTGAAATTAATACTTATCAATAAATTAACAACTTGTTTATTAACATAATGCCTCTATACCTACACAGGCATTATTGTGAGTCTTTACCAATATAATTATATAAAACAATACCTTCAACATAGCATGGTGTAATAGTATGTAAATATGCCGTTGTACTACACGAAGATGCTTTTATAATGTATTGTGAGATATATTGCATATTTCTAGTTTAGCAGTAAATCGATAGTACATAATTTCAACAATATCAAAGATCCCTAATTATTTTACAAACCAACCGAACTGTAATGACATTACATAATGTTATTCAATTTTAATTTTATTGAAGTTTGCTCGTTCGAATATAGAATTATATTTAAAAGTTTAATGTACATTTAACTCGATGTACGTACCGAATAAAAAAAAATATTTGAAAAAGAAAATTAAGACGAGCTGTTGTTGGTATATTTAGAAAAATATTAAAATACCAGATCATCTGATGGTGACCATGTACAAATAAAGAAATGAAATGTCATTACAGTTCGTGTACTTAGTGAAGGCAACACAAATTATAAAGAAAGAAAAAAAACATATTATTTAATAGTCAAATACAAATCCATCTAAGTAGATGTATTAACATAGAACTTAATAATTCAGAGTAACAGGTCGTTGACTCCCTTTCCGGTACAAATCAAAATATACACGCTATTTGATAACAAATACAACCTAATTCCTCATTCATATAAGGCTGTTTGTTTAATAATAAAATTTTGATAATCAACATTACCTCTCTATATACAAAAGTAGTAAATTATAATAATAATTAAATACATCCGAACTAAAATTCTATCCGGTATTATAAAAAGAAATATCTTTTGTTTTGCAGAGTACAACACTATACGGTAATGTGACTTCAGAATGTATATCAATAACTAACATATTCTATACAAAATATCTATAGATAGTTGCCTATTATAACTACTCAACATACCAATATAGATTTTTAACCGTATCAATTGAAGTATAGTATATTTCTGCATTTACCCAAAGTTACAGAGTTCGTGAAATCATAATACTCTTATTAACTTAGATAGAAAAAAATATTTCTACTTCCATATTATAAATCATACAAGCAATAAATTTAACCTAGTTGCCGATTTTACTTATAATGTAATCTTGATTAAATTCTCTGGCAATTACTTTTGTCAATGAAAAGCAAGGAATAGCTTTTAGCTCACATGGATCAAGTTACGGAATTTTTCCGAAAGGTTGTATTAATTCGGTAGATCACTTTTCCATTAATTCTTCCCTACATTTTAAAACCAGACTATAATAATATATAAACATAATCGGATCGTGTGTTTGATTATTCATATTTTAGTCACTTAGTTACTCGATCAGTTAAAATAAATGTAATTATTTAAGTACACAAACGTTGCCAACTTTCTTAGTTTATTTGCACATATTTGTTAAATTTTGTAATTAATAACAATTTATTTAAACACCTACATACAAATTTCTTCACAATGAATTTTAGTGTGGTGTAATTTAGTGAATTGCTTAAAAGTACAAAGAAACAATTTGTTACTTTTGCAAATTTTATAAAATAAATCAAATACATATTAAAATAACACACATCTAGGTAATCTTTACTTAATAGTTGCTGTATCTCATTATATACATCGCAATTGTTTCACCTCACAGTGAATAACCGTTGCATTGATTTTGTAAAGTAATTTTGTTTACGTTAAAAAAATTTAGGAGCAAAAATTGTTATTTATATTATAAAATAAAAAAAAGCTATATTGTATTAATTTTTTTGAATTTGATTAATTCAACACGTATTTTATCAAATGGTATTAGAATTCGTACAGTGGTACATAGAAGCACACGTAAGTAGTTATCATTCGGCATAATATCCCTTGGACTATAAGGTATTGTGTCTGCTTTTGAATAGGTTAATATTATTTCCCTCGTAGATATTATTTAGGTATATAAGTATTTCTTTAGATAACGTGTGAATGGAATGAGTGTATGCGGTCACACTTAACATTAATTTAGTCATACTTGCATTCTTTTAATTGTAATAATTATTGGTAATTATAATCTCGTGCCAAGCGAGTTTTGTTATTGAATCGTGTACATTCTGGTCATTGGCGTTGTTGGAAAAGCAACGCTCATAGGTATGAAATTATATTAAATTCCCCGTGATATTTTCTAGTTAACATACGCACTCAGTGTAACTGCGGCCATTATCACTGCCGGCTTCCAACTTTTAATGTTTAACGACAGATCGGTCTACATCATAATATTCTGTAACAACACATATAATTAGTATAAAAAAGAACCGTTTTATAACTAATTTCTTAAATAACAGTTAAAACAACTGTTTTTAACTGTTTTCATCAATAACGGCTAATTAAATGGTTGTATAATTTCAACGTTAACATCAAGTAAAAATAAATACAGTTAATAGGTTATCTATTGTCAATAATCGATAGTATTTTTATAGCTGCAGACATTTCTAAAATCAGAATTTTATGAGTAGACACGAAAAACATGACGTCAATAAAATGTTTTATAGCGCAACGGTCATACTAATTCGACAGTGACAATGTCAATGTGGCATTCAGCATCCGAAATGATACCCAGCGTCCATTCTAAGCTCAAAATTATCCAAACCCATTGGCTGATTCTAGTATACGGCTGTTATTGGTTAGTGAAAGATGCAAATCAAAGCGTGTTAATTATATTTTGATACTCGATGTTTTCTACATT